CATCGCGACGCCTGGGGTTCGGGTGGATGCCTCGGCAGAGGTCCCGCCATGAATACTCGGCGTACCTGGGGCAAAAGCAGCACCACGAGTGTGACGAGCACGACCGCTACCAGTAGCGCCACGACGCCTGGCACTTTTACGAGTAGTACGAACGAGAGCAGCACCACGAGTGTGACGGGCACGACCGAAACGGGATCCATTGCGACCCGAGGTGCCTCCAACGCAGACTCGCGTCCTCCATTCTGGCGTGGAGCAGGAACGAACCCATGCCCAGGCAGCAGCATGAGGCACCGACCGAGAGGCACATGTGGGCCGCATGGAGACAGGCGCGCAGCTTCGCGGACAGAAACTGCCCTGGGGCACCGCTTGCCGAACACCTTTTTCCCAGGAGACATAGTACGAACCATGCTGCAGCAGCAGCTTGCTGACCTCGGGCCGCCGCTCCCCTACCTAGACTCGCCTGAAGACCCAGGGACGCTGCGCCGCGCACAGGTACTAACGACGGATTGCAGGATGCCCCAACAGCGACACTTTAAGGAGCACCGAAGGTCTCACCCTCCTTTTACAGCCGCGCACGGCACGGATCTAGCATCAGACAGTAGTGTTGAGCATAACTTTGGCAGTCTACAGACGCCACTTATTTAAAACTACCCACCTCTTTGTTGCCAGACACTCAGCCAATGCATACTCTCATACTTTTCCGACCCACTCGTGTACGTGAGCAATTTGCCGATGTAAGAGTATTGGCTGCACAGAACGCACTATACAGAAGCAGTTTGTACTTACCTCGACTTCGGGTTATTGTTTGTACCTTCCCCTCGGGTTTTTCATTATGGTACAGGCTGCTTCTACAAGGTGCTCCAGGCCCCGCGCAGAGAGTACAATCATACAGTGCCTTTGCAGAAGTACCTATCTTTTACAGTTGGAACGGCAGTACTACCTCAAGCCAGCCCCATCCAGACACAGGCCGGCCTAACTTTGCTGCCAACTTGCAGCATACAGTGATAGGACGGTAATAATCAGTATGAGCCACAGGCCAGCATTCGACCTCACAGGCCGCGTACCAGACCGCACGCAGTTGACTTTCTCTTGCTCCCACTCCGCGTACCTACCCCCGCACTCCTGACATGACTACGGTGACGGCGGCCCCTCCACCTAGGAACCGAAGAGCGGGCTTACTCCTGGCTAAAAGAGCGGGCCTACTGCTGGCAAAAAGGACCGCACAAAGTACAAAGCTTACTGCGACCATTCTTGTTTCCACGCTGCATGCCAAGCGGCGCACTGAGAACATAGGTGGATGGCATGGAGCAGGTGGAGGAATATTGTGGTTTTGCAGCAGTATCTATCGTGAATATTTGGTGCAGTTAACCTACCTGGGCCAGCCTTGTCTTGTCACAGGCCGGCCTAAGTCTGCTGCCATCTCGCTGCGCAGTCATAGGAATGGGCCGGCCTTAGACCTGGCAGGCCAGCCTACCAGACCGCGCGCAGTTGCCATTTCAGCGCGCACAGACTCTTTGTTTTCTGGCTCAGACATCTACGTGGGCAAGCTGCCCAGGTAAACGTTTTGGCTGCACACAACGTAGTCGACAGAAGCAGCTTGCACCTACTTCGGTTCATGGTTGCTCTTATTACCTTACTCTCTGGCTATATCCTTGCTTTCCGATGCGGCACTACCGTTCTAGTAATTCTCAAGGGTCTCTATCACCTACAGGGGGTACTGCGGCGCCCGCCAGGCCAATTTTTTTTGGCGCCGAGTCGTCCGACTGCACGCTTGCATTTTTTTACATAGTGCGCAAACGCCACAGCGGTCGCGCTCAAGTCGGTCTATCTCACAAGGAGGAGAGGGACGCCGATGGAAATCGTGCGCGCATCCTACCCGTGCATCAGGAATGCGGGGGAGGAGATGCTCAACAGAGCGCTCGCGGATCCCAGCCCCTCAAACACTTGCCTCGTTTGCTTCGCCAGATGGGGGGACCTTTCGCCTCTACCACCACGCGGCCCCTTTCAAAGGGGGGAAGGGTCATGCGTCGCATCCGTAGGGATCCCGCTCCGCCACGGGTGGGCGGTCTCGTTCTGCGGCTGGGGTGGCGCCTCGCTGCGAGATGGGGCACTGCCACGAGCAGGCGCGGAGCTCGCGCGGGGGTCGCGCTTTGTGCATTGCAATGATCTGGAGAGTCGCTCCGCGACTTGTGAGGGTCTCGCTCCGCGGCTGTGCTGGCGCCTTGCCCCGCGACTCTGCGCCGTTCGCGCGGGGAGGCCGCCGGGCAGTTGAGACCCCAGGAGGGCCCAGTCTGAGACCCTAAGGAGAAGGAATCCCAAGTTTGGGGAACCGTCGGGCAGTTTAGCTAGGGAGGCGCTGGAGCCTTTAGTCTCGATGTGAGGTGTGCAGCGCCCTTCAGGCCGCCGCCCAGGGCCGCTCCGAGCTGATGATGATGGTGGTGATGATGATAATGATGATGGTGATGCTGTTGATGATGCTGCTGATGTGATGTTGATGGGTATGATGATGTGGGTATGATGATGTGGGTTGACGGTGTTGATGCTGATTCTGATGATGGTGATGATGTGGGTAAGGTGATGATGATGAGGATGAGGATGAGGATGAGGATGATGATGATGTTGTTGATGATGCTGCTGATGATGTTGATGGTGCCATCTGTGCCACGCGCGGGCAGGAGGAGGCGCAGCCTGCCTCCCTGCGTCGCCTGGAGGCGGGCGAGCTTGACCTCGACCTCGACCGCCCCCCTCGCCCGTCCCGCGCCACGCGGAACGCTCCGACCAACGGTCGCTCGCGCCCAGCGCTGGTGGCGCGGAGGAGGAGGAGGAAAGGAGGAAAGGGAGGAGGAGGAGGAAAGGGAGGAGGAGGAAAGGGAGGAGGAGGAGGAGGAGGAGGAGGAAAGGGAGGAGGAAAGGGAGGAGGAAGAGGCGGAGGAGGACCAGTGCAAACCCAAGCCTCATCAACGATATTGCGATCAACCCTCACTCCAAGTTTCCTCTTCAAAGGCCCCTACTACAAGGATTCATTTCCACTGGGAGAAGTGGCCCGTTGGAAGACAGCCGTTTGAAAATGTTGAATTGTGCCATGACGCAATTTGGGGGGACTTCAACACCGCGAATCACTCTTACTGTTGCGTGTTGACGTTCCTCGAATAGAGCCAGAAACTAATCCTGGGACTTCAACACCGCGAATCAACATAATTGTCGCGCCCTGACAGTCCGACATCGTGCCAAAACATTCTTGGGGGGACGGTAACCATGATAAGCATTGAAAGTGTTGTAGACTCTTCAGAAGAATGTGCCCGTCGCTCGGGCAAAAGCCACATTTTAAAAAGGAGACGCCCTCCATCCATGAAGATCTCGCAAATCTTTAGGACGATTGCGCGCGGTGCAGAGGCGACAGCCACATTGTGAAAGCGACTCGCCCTCCACCCGTGAAATTCTGCAATGCCTTTCGAATGTGCGCGGCGCAAAGGCGAGAGCCACATTTTGAAAGCCGCCCGCCCTCCATCCGTGAAGTTTTTACAACTGTTTTGACGAATGTGCGCGGCGCAGGGGCGAGAGCCAAAGGTTGAAAGCGGCCCGCCCTTCATCCGTGAAGTTGTTGTGAATCCTCAGCTGGAGGATCAAGTACGGCGAGGAAGTCTCGGGCGAATGTGCGCGGCGCAGGGGCGAGAGCCAAAGGTTGAAAGCGGCCCGCCCTTCATCCGTGAAGTTGTTGTGAATCCTCAGCTGGAGGATCCAGTACGGTGAGGAAGTCTCGGGCGAATCGCCGGGCCCGCCCTGCCGACACGCCCTGGGGCGTGACAGGCAGGAGTTCATAGCAAGGGGAAATAATCGAGGAGGAGGAGGAGGTGGAGGAGAAAGATAAGACGAAGAAGGAGGAGGAGGAGGAGGACCAGTGCAAACCCAAGACGCATCAACGATGTTGCAATCAGCCTTCCCTCCCAGTTCCGCATGTGAGGGGCGCTACGGCGAGAGCCACATCTTAAAAGGAGCTGCCGTCCATCCGTGAAGCCCTCGCAATTCACCGCAAATATGCGCGGCTCGAGGGCAAGCGCCACATTTTGAAAACCACCTGCCCACCATCCGTGAAACTCCTGCAGCTGTTTCCTACGAGCGTGCGCGGCTCTAGGGCTGGAGCCACATGTTGAAAACCACCCGCCCCCTATCAGTGAATCTCTTGCATGTCTTAAAACAGATGTGCGCGGCGCTGGGGCGAGAGCCTCATTTTGAAAACCGCCCGCCCTCCATCCGTGAAGCCGATGTCAACTCTTAGGCTTCAGGATCCTAAGTGGCAAGGAAGTCTCAGGCGAAACGCTCGGCCCGCCCTTCCGACCCTCCTCGGGGTGCGACAGGAGGAGTTATTCAGAAGGGAAAGGAATGGAGGAGGAGGAGGAGGAGGAGGAGGAGGTGGAGGAGGAGGAGGAGGAGCAGCAGCAGGAGCAAGAGCAGGAGCAAGAGAAGGAGAAGCAGGAGGAGGAGGAGGAGGAGGAGAAGCAGCAGGAGGAGGAGCAGGAGCAGGAGCAGGAGCAAGAGGAACAGGAGAAGCAGGAGGAGCAGGAGGAGCAGGAGGAGGAGGAAGAGGAGGAGGAGCAGGAGGAGGAGCAGGGAGGAGGAGGAGCAGGAGAGGAGGAGGAGGAGAGGAGGAGGAGAGGAGGAGGAGTAGGAGAGGAGAAGCAGGAGGAGGAGCAGGAGGAGGACGAGGAGGAGGAGGAGGAGGAGGAGGAGAAGCAGCAGGAGGAGGAGGAGCAGGAGCAGGAGGACGAGCAGGAGCAAGAGGAGCAGGAGAAGCAGGAGTAGCAGGAGGAGGGGCAGAGGGAGGAGGGAGGAGGAGGAGGGAGAGGGAGGAGGAGAGGAGGAGGGAGGAGGAGGAGGAGGAGGAGGAGGAGGAGGAGGAGGAGGAGGAGGAGGAGGAGGAGGAGGAGGGGGAGGAGGGGGAGCAGGAGGAGGAGCGCCGCCCTCCAGGCGCTGCCCGCGCCGCACCCCCCATCGACCCCGCCCCCGCCCGGGCTCCTGCCCGCCGGCAGCCGCCAGCCCGACGCCGCCCTCTCTGGCGCCGCGTGGTCGAAGCCCCCCCCGAGGAGCTCGGGGTTCGCGTAGAGGGAGGGTCGTCCCAAGCTGAACTCTCCACCCCACCTCCGCCCCTGCCCCACTTTTACGCCCCCCCGGAGGATGCCCCCGCCGCCCTCGGGGCCGCCGCCGAACGAGTTCTGCAAGGCGGCCGCGCCCGCCGCCCCGCCGCCCTTCGCGCCGCCCGGCGCCCCGCCGGACCTGGCCGCGTCGCAGGAGCCGGGGCGCTCGGAGGCGACGACAGGGGCGAATGGGCCAGGGGCGGGCAGTGCGCGTATCCCTCGGGGGGCCTCGCTGAAGGCGCGGACCATCGGCGCACTTGGATACCTGTATTCCTATCCCCTGGGCTATTCGCCCCCACTGCCGCCCCTGGGGCGCGCGGGGCGCAGCGGACCTCGGGCGCCTGCGGGTGGCAGCAGTCCGCCGGCGCTGGGAGCCCACCCCCGCTCCCATCGCCTGGGGCGTTTCGCATTGGGGAGGCGGCGATAGTTTTGGGGGGGGGGGCATTGCGGGTTGCAGGAAAGGGGCCCTGAGACGGGGCCCCCTCGGGCCCCGCAGGTGCACGAAAGGTGCACCTTTCTGAGTTCGCCTCTGTTGCCCCACCCCATCGAGCAACGCCCCATCCCTGGGCGGCGCCTTCGGCGCCTCTCTCGGCGCGCCCGGCGCGCCTGGGAGGGGAGGGCGTACGAGCGCTGGCGGAGAGCGGCTGGTCGCGGACACCCCAAGCTTGTGTTTCCGGGTGTTTTCCCGCCCTCCCGAGGGCGAGTTGGCGGACGGCGTTGCCGGCCTCGCCGGGCTCCCGACGATGGCTGCGGAGGACCTCCCTCCTTCCCGAGGGCTCGACGAGCGCACGCTGAACGAGCAGCAGACCAGCATCGTGAAGGAGCTCTCCTACGGGTGCCGCCTGCACGATCCGGCGCGCGACCGCTTCGCATCCAGGGAGCACGCTCGGAACACGTGCCTCGTGAACGTCTCGCGACTAAAGTTCTGCCACAGCACGATCAGCCCCACCTTCATGCACGGAGACCACCGGGGGAGGCCGGTGCTCTCGCTGCTGCGAGAGCTGCACTCTGGTCAGGCCGACCCTCGGCAGCTTCCGGCGCTGGTGGTGATGCAGACCAGCAAGGGTCTGGAGGTGTCGGGGGCGGCAAAGAGGGGGGTGATGACTAAAGGGGGTGGATATCATGGCGGGGGCCATGATACTTCCCCAGATATCATGGCGCCTCTTCTTATTTCAATACGTCCCAGGTCTCCCTTTGGGCCGCGCACATGCCGCCGGCCATGACTTGCGCCCCCCCCCCCCTCTTGGACGCCCCCCTCTTGGCCGCCCCCCAAGGTGGTCTGTGGCAACCGCCGCCTGTACTGCCTGAAGCGCTACGCCGCGGAGGCGAGCAAGAGCGTCGATGCATGGTGCATGGTGTACGATTGGAAGGCACAGGACACGCCTCGCCCCCTCCTCATGAAGTACATCTTGGCGTCCACCACCCAGGACGGCGGCAGTATCACTTTGCGCTCGCAGTGAGCCGCACCTGCCTGCCCACTGCCCCCGAGTGCAGCTTGCTGGGCTCGCTCGGAGACGTCGCGCGTCGATCCCAGTTCACTGCTCCTCTCCCTCCTGCTGCTCGTCGTCCCTCTCCTCTCCCTTCCCCTCCCCTCCACAGCTACTGTTTCTCTCCTCCCCTGAAGTTGTCTGGAAGATCTCCCGCCCCCTCCGCTGGCTATGTCCATAACTGGTGTTTGGTGTGTTCCCACAGCTTGCGTCGTTCGCGCGTGGGACACAGCGGGCGCGTGGGAATCCCCTTCCTGCGGTGTCGAAGAATTACTGACTTCGGAGATGAGGAAACGCACTTTCGCAAGTTTTCAGACTCAGAAAATTAATGTTTCTGTGGGTTCCCTGGAGTGGGAATTATGTTTTTCGGCAGTTTTCCTGGAGTAAAACATAGGTTTACGATCTTTTGTCGGACGCGAAAACTATGTTTTATCATTTTTCCTGAACGAGAAAGTGTGTTTCCGGTGATGCACTAACATCCGCTAGCATTGTCCAAGGCACGGGCCATCGTCTCTTTGGATCGCCCAACCTGGCCAGGCAGGCAGGTGGCGCACGCTTGCGCTCTCGTGACGGTGATGGAACCGCACATCAACAGTGACCTGCCTCCTCCACTTGCTTGTCCTCCTACTCATGGTCTTCCTCCTTCCTCCTCGTTAGGACAGTTTCGTTATCTTCGAGGGGCCTATCGAGCCGCGCCCGAAGTCTGAGCCGTTTGATTGGGGTTTTCCATGCTAGCCGCGCCTTTTGGGCCGCCATCCCGAACCAGACGGCTCGTCGTCATGATCGTTCTGGCGGCCCGCCCCCGCCGAGCTTGACGCCGCCGTCGGTCAGCTTTCTCCTCCTCTTCCCTTTTTCCTTTTCGTAGCTTCCTTTCTTCCTCCTCCTCCTCCCCTTCCTCCTCTTCCTCCTCCTCCGCCTCCTCCCCGGTTTCCTCCTCCTCCTCCTCCGTTTCTTGTTTCTTCTCCTCCTCCTCCTTTTCTTCCTCCTCCTCCCCCCCCTCCTCCTCTCCCTCGTCCTCCTCTTCTCCCTCGTCGTCGCCCTTCTCCTCCTCGCCCTCCTCCTCCTCCATCCTTGCAAGGGCCCGTTGGAGCGTGAGCGTCTGTTTCGGCTTGGCGTCTCCGTGCCCGGGAATGGTGTTGGCGAATCAAATTGACGAATCCTATTTTGAGGCCCCCCCAGGCCCCCAGGCCCCCAGCCTCGGACCGTGCTAGTGCGACTCGTAGTAGACTCTAAAGATTGTCCGCCAGCGGCAAGGCTCTTGCAGCGCTTCCAACAATGAGTAAACGCATTCTGCCATAGTTTCGGGATTAACGCATTGTTCTGCGGCGCGCGCCGCGCCCGAGGCGAACCCGAACTCCACAGAGGAGAAGAGCGACGGGAGGAGGAGGAATCCACATAATAATAAGATAAGGTCCTCCTCCTCATCCTCGCCCTTCCTTCTCCTCAACCTCCGCCTCCTCTTCCTTGCCGTGCTCGTCTGCCAGGCCCTCTCCTCGCCCTCCTCCTCCTCTACCCCCCTGCCCCCGCCCCACCTCGCATCGCGCTCCCCAGAGATGAGACTGGGTTCGGAGGGGCGGGGCGCGGCCGGCGCCCGAAGATTCGGGGGGCTCGCGTCGGCACGTCGGCGTCGCCCCGCAAATGCCCCCTCCTGTCACCCTCAGGCTTCCCCTCTCTTCTCTTATTGACTCTTAGTCCTCATACGTACCTGCCTTGCCGTCCTCCTCCTCCTGGTCCCCCTCAGCCTCCTCCTCCCTCCTCCGTTCTTCCTCCTCCTCCTCCTCCTCTTCCTCTTGCTCCTCCTCCTCCTCCTCCTCTTCATCTTGCCCCTCCTCTTGCTCCTCCTCGACTCCTCGCCCTCCTCCTTCCCTTTTCGCCGCCGCTGCTGCCCGCCGCCCCCGCAGTTGCGGCTCGCAGTTCACTTGCCGGCCCGGGCGGCCGGGCCAGCACGGCCCAGCACGGCCCAGCTCAGTTCAGCTCGGGCCCGCCGATGTCTCGGCGATGGCCGCTGGCCTTGGGCGCCGCGGGCAGGACGGCGCGGCGGCAATTTCCCCGGGCCCCCCCCCCTAGAGAGAGGGAGACAGAGAGAGAGAGTGAGAGAGAGAGAGGGAGAGAGAGAGAGAGAGAGAGTGTGAGAGAGAGAGAGTGAGTCCGAATGAGATAACAAAACATATAGATAGAGAATACGAAGGTGAGAGAGCGAGACAGAAAGAGAGAGATAGAAAGAAAGAGAGAGAGAGAGAGAGAGAGAGAGAGACAGAGAGAGGATAACCTTTACAAACAAAAGACAACAAACATAACACATGTCATGATATGCGACAGAGGGGGGAATAATGAGATAGAGAGAGAAAGAGAAAGATAAGGAGAAAGAGAGAGAAGGCAACTGAGAGAACGAGAAAGAGAGATGGAGAGAGAAATATAGATAGAGAGAGAGAGATAACATAATATAAAAGAGAAAGTGAAAGAGAGAGAGAGAGAGAGAGAGAGAGAGATAGAGAGAGAAAAAAACATATGGAGAGAGAGAGAGAGAGAGAGAGAGAGAGAGAGAGAGAGAGAAAGAGAGAGAGAGAGAAAAAAAAGGAGATACTCGGGCGTGGGAGCGTGGGAGGGCGAGAAGAGCCCCGAACCCCTTCCCATCCACGCCCGCCCATCCCTGGGGACCTCCTGGTCGCGGGGGAAGGGGGGCCCCGGGGTCCCGGGGGAGTTCGTTGCCGCGCCCCCAGAAGCGAGCAGCATCCTTTGGCGCTGACGATCGGGCGCCGCCGCCACGACTGGTCGACCCGCTGGAGTTTCGCCGGTTGGAGCTGGCGATCTCTCGGGCGGGGGGTTGTGCGGTCCGTGGCAGACGTCTGGACCAGGATGCTCTGTGCGATTTGGTGGAGCTGTTCGCCCCCGGCAACGTTCCAGCGCAGCGGTGCCGCAAGAGCGTTCAGACTCTCCTACGGAGGAATCCTCTCTACAGGCAGCGCGTTTCTCTGAGCGACGGAGTGGAGGTATTCCACGCTGACGTCATCCCAGCGCTGCTCCAGCAGGTGTGCGGCATCACTGTGCCCCTGGACTCGTGGGCGGGCCTCGTTGCTGGACTCGGCGAGGTGGCGACCCGTTCGTCACCGCCGCTGCCGCCCCAGGCCCTCCCGATTGCCGATGGCGCAGAGTCCGGCGTCCAGACAGAGGCGCGCGCCATCGTGCCAGCCGTCGATCAGCCTGATCGGCCCGATGATCAGCCTGCGGCTGCGGCGGTGGCAGAGAGACTTCTTCCGCCGGACCTTGCTCGAGAACATTACTCCCGGCTTGCCCACGAACAACTTGTGGGATTGGTGCTCCAGCGGGATGATGTCATTCGCGCGCTGAGGAGAGAGTTGAGAACTGAAGTGAGGAGGACGAGGAGCAAGTCTGACCAGTTACAAGTATCTAGGGCAGCGCCTCCAGTTGACGACAACACAGTCTTCGACCTTTCGACGCGACTGAATGGGAAAGGGGTTCGACTTACCGACCAGGGTTCCCTTGCCCTCGCACTGCGGACAGTTGTGTCCGGCGCTGCTGCGAACAGAGTTGGGTTGGGCTTACTGCGCGACGTCAGCCACCAGACTGTCTGCAGACATGTTATACTATTGGATGCTTGCCTGAAGCAGTTGGTGCGAGAACGGAATCTCATATGCCGCCATGGCCTCTTGAAGGCTGCGCAATGCGCGCGAGCTGCCAATCGCACGTGCCACCAAATATCCGCGTGCGCTTTCAGCAGCGACGCGACCAACAGTGCAGTGTGGTCCCGGTCGAAGTTACATACAACAGAAGTGGTGTCAATGTATTTGCCTGATGCGGACAGGACTTCGATTCATTCTTGGGATACTTGTGCAATTGCATTTCGCACCCTGTGCGACATCCAGCGCGTCCTCGACGGGTCCACGGAGTCGACCTACGCAATGCTCCAGAAGCAAGTTTCCAGCCTGGGGGCACCTTTGTGGAGTGAGGATTGGCCTGTCAGCGCAGAGCCAGCTCATCTGGTTCACTTAGTCAACTATTCAAGCGAGTGGGAGACCGAGCTGAATCGGGCCAAGGCCGACATGCGGGTCCACGTTAGCATTTTTCTGTACACGTCTGATGGCGGGAGCGACCAAGCTAAGTTCAAACGTGTTATGGCAGCCGCATGCATGTCAAGCTTGTTTACGCTGTATATAGATTTCCCTTGCGTATTACACGCGGGGGCTTTGGTCTCGAAGGGCGCTCTCAGCATTGTCGACGAGTGGCTTTTGCACAACGGGTTGCCCTGGCGGTTCTTCTCCACCACGGCGAAGATCATATACGCCTGGCGCGACAAGATGCGCGACGTCTTCAAAAGTTGGTGCAGGCTCATTGGGCCCGAGTCCGCGTTGGAGCACGCGAAGACGCTGCCCCCGGTGCCTTTATCGGGGCGTTGGGGCAGCATGTCCGCCGCCCTCGACAGGTTGGTCCCGTGTCAGCCCGAGCTCGCCGCAGTGCTCAAGGACGCCTTCGATCCTCGCATGGAGGACGCGGGATGCGGGAAACTATAATATTTTTACCCTGCCCGCCCCCGCCCCTCCCCGGCCCCAGGAGCGAGGGCGGCTGGAAGGGGGGGAAGTCGGGGGGGAAGGGCGGCGAGGATGAGGATGCCCGAGGAGGAGGAGGAGAGTCGAGAGGAAGGTGAAGGAAGAGGCCTGAGGAGCTGAGGAGGGCGAGGAAAGGGGGGGGCGGGGGGGGCGAGACGGCGAGACGAAGACAACGACGACGATGACGACGACGACGACGACAACTGCGACGAGACGACGACGACGACGATGACGACGACGACGACGACGACGACCGACGACGGCGACAACGACGACGACGAGAAAAAGCGGAGGGCCCCGGCCGCCTTCAGGGCCTTCTTCAGGGCCTTCTTCCACGCCGCACATGCTCCTGGGTGTTTCGGCGCGCATCCCCTTTTCCTAGTCCCCTTGCTTCTGCTGCCTCTGTTGTGTTACCCCCTGCTCCTTTCCTCGGCACCCCCGTCTATCCCTCCTCATCTCGCCCGTCGTCCTCGACCAGTTCTGCTCTGCCTCGGCCCATGTGCCCCCCCTCCCCCCGCGGGCCCCCTCCCCCCCGCCAGCCCGCCAGCCCCCCGCTCTCCGCCCCCTCCCTCCTCTCCTCCCCCTCCTCCTGCCCCTCCTCCTCCAGCTTGAGTTCCCCGACGGTCTGTCAGCTCAACCGCCGCTGCCCGCCGCCGCCCCAGGCTATCGCGGACGCGGCTGGAGCTGGAGCTGCCGGAGAGCTGGCCCCCGCGCTCGCCGACCCGCGGCAGGAGTCCCAGATGGAATACAGCAGGCGGATGGGGAGGTTCAGGGCCGACGCGGTGGCAAGGGTCGGCGACCCCCTCTATGCAGCCATCGCCCAGATCTTCAGACTTGCCCACGGAGAGATGGACCACCACCATAATTTTATCCAGAAGGTCGTTCCACCGTGGGAAGCGGCCGCGCATGGGAACACGGCCGCGCAACTCATCAGCGGCAAGGCACAGGAAATCAACAGTCGATTTGGGCAGAATCTTGTTCGGGTTCGGTGGTCGGCGGTGCTGGTGACTGCGCCTCCGCAGCATCTCA